GTTCGGTTCGGTTCGGTTCTATTGTAACCGGTTCCATGGAACCAGAACCGAACCGAACCGAACCGCCCCATCCCTAAGTATGTGGCGTAGTTGTTACACAAAATATTAAGATAAAAATAGAAAATGATGTCATTATCACGTGGCTGCCGCAGCAAGTTGGTTCCGATTGATCGACATGCTCGGGACTTCCTCAGTCCTTATTTACAATCTCACAATATATATCCTTCCCAATGCATGAGAGATTTAACAATAATAGATTACTATATAATTTTGCTTATTTTTTAATAGGCAGTATTGATAAAAATACATTAAAACAAATATTGATTTACTTAAGAAAAAATACTGAATTACTGGTTGAGACTAATAAAATTGTAAAAAAATTAGATTCAAATTATACTAAATTATCAAATGAATTAGAGGAATTAAAAAAAAGACTCACAAGTTCTTAAAGAAAATGACAATCATTGGTGTAAGGTGAACTCATTTATATATATTTTTTTTTTATAATTGGTATTGATTTTATAAAGATTTAAAACATTTGAATAAATATAGGAAGTTTGGAAATCTGCTACTAGAAAACTCTTGAAAAATGGATATATTTATCCAAATGAAACTGGCTTTAAAGATTATTTCATTAGTGTTATAAATGAGCAATATGACTCAAAAAAAAAAAAGAGATCAACAACACCCAGCAATTCAAAAAGTCATGAGAAATATTTTGCTAAAATATGTAATTACTATGATCAATATATTTATTGCTCATTGTGGAACAAAGGAGTACAGAGATATGGCTAGATTTGTGCAAAATAGGAAAAAAATAAAAATATGGCTTTAACAAAGTAAGTCTTTAACATCTTTACTATTTGTTAGATCAAAGTTAGTGATTTTGTTTGTCAATGACCAAATTAATTCATTATGGAATCAAAATATTAAAAATTTACAAAATGCTCTACCTAAATCATATGTATCCACCAAGTCCAACTTCTTAAATCACATTCAATTTATTTTAATGCATTATCATACCTTCTGATCTTTTTATGGTGCACTTTGCTATCACAAAATAAAATTTGATAATTATGATGGCAAGCAACAAGCTCTTTCTAAATGTGTCAATGGATCATTGGTAAACCACAATACTGGCATTATTCTGATGTAGTTTGACTTACAGATCTAGTGGATTCTCCTCTTTTTCTCCAGGTTATGCTTCATGACCAAAAAACAGTTATACCAAGAGTTGAAAGAAGATGTACCACTCAATTGGTAAATGAATTTAAATCAAGCCAGGTATGTTAAATGATTCTTATACACTGCCTGGAAGAAAGTATCGGGACACCTGTTTTTAATAATTACGCAAAAACTCACATAATAATTATGCATAAAATTTTATCAAAACGTAGCTTAGATTTTGGTGAATGCTCTTATAAAATTTCATGTTTTTAGCCTTCATTTATATTTTTTAATTTTAAAAATACGAACTTCAATTAAATTTAAATTTTTAAAAATTTTTACTGTTGATCATCAAAATTACAAACAAATAAATCAATACCATGTTGGCCACCCATTATTAGCAATGCATTCCTCTATTCTCCTTGGCATGCTTTCAATCAATTTGTGATAAACTATTTGAGGAATTTCAGACCATTCCTCTTGCAAAGCAAGTTCCAATTCTCGAGCATTTTTGGGATAAATTTCACGTTTTTTCAATCTTCTTTCCAACTCATCCCAAAGGTGTTCAATTGGATTGAGATCAGGAGACTGGGATGTCCAATCAGGTAATGTCACAATATTTTTTTCTCTCATCCAAATGATTACATTATTCGCTGTGTGCACTGGTGCATTATCATCTTGAAATTTGTATCCTCTATTATGAAATTGTGTTGCAATTAACGGCATCAAATTATTTTCCAAAATTTCAATATAATCCTGATTATTCATCCATCCATCTGCTTTTACTAGTGGTCCTAATCCCTTTCCAGAAAAACACCCCCACACCATTATTCCACCACCACCATGTTTAACAGACGGTCTGATATTCTCAATATTGTAACGTTTGCCATTTTTCCTCCAAACTCAAGATGGTCCATCACTCCTAAAAATTTTAAAACGGGATTCATCACTCCAGATGACATTTTTCCATTGTCTCACAGTCCAACCTCTTCTGTCTAAACACCACTTTAATCGATTTTCTCTTTGCTGTTCTGTTAATAAGGGCTTTATTGCAGCAACTCTAGAAAAAACTCCAAGTTCATGCAAATTTTTTCGAATAGTTTTTGTTGATACTTGAATGCCACTTACTTGAACAAAACCTTTTTGGATCTCTTCTGCAGAACTATGATTTTTTTTTGTCACAATTTCTTTCAGGATTTTTTGATCATTAACTTTTAACACTCTTGGACGGCCACTTCTTGATATGCTTTTTAGACTCACTGCATTCTCATAACATTGAATATTTTTGTGAACAGTAGATTTTGGAATTTTAAGTATTTTTGAAATCTTTCTAATACTACTACCACCTATTCTAAGACCTAATATTTTTCCTCATTCAGTTTCAGTCAATTCTGAATTTTTAGACATTTTTAACATTTTTAAAAAATTAGATCAAAAAAATTTTAATCCATCAATTTTAGCACAGATCCTTTATTTTAAATAACAATATGTCTAACCATGGTAAAGTCATGAAATTTCAAATAAATATTCTTGAGAACCTAAGCTACATATTGATATAAATTTCTTTTAATTTTAATATGAAAAATTTTAAGGAATTGTAAAATTAAAAAATATACAAGTGATTTTAATTGAAGTTTGTATTTTTAAAATTAAAAAATATAAATGAAGGCTAGAAACATGACATTTTATAAGCACATTCTCAAAGACTTAATTCGTGATTCGTGAAACATCTGCAAAATTTTTCATAACAGAATTTGGCGCAAAATTTTGCAGATCACTAATTAAAATTTTCTGGACTCCAACTTTCACCCCCAATGTAACCACCCTTTATGTTTATATAAACTAAAATTGTACTTTTAACACATGATATGAATCTCGAAGTTTAAATATACA